ATGTAGCTCAGTGGTAGAGCGCATGCTTTGCATGTATGAGGTCCTGGGTTCGATCCCCGGCATCTCCAGTTCTTAATGTTAAGTTTTTGGGTGACTGGGGTTCAGCGGGTAGAGTGGTCATCTCCTAACCGGGGGGTTGGAGGTTTGAATCACGGTGCCTGCAGTCCACATGTCGAAGTGCCCTGGGGCAGGGAGCTGAATCCAGAGTTGGTTCTGTACCAGAAACAAATTCCTTGTGTGTAACATAGTTGGCCAAATGAAGGTGGTTATCGTGTTGGTAGAGTTAATGAAGGTGGTTATCGTGTTGGTAGAGTTAAAGAAGGATCTGGACAACGATCGTAAAGAGGACACGAGACCTGCACTTTTCAAATGTACAGACCAACAGTTTTTTCACTAATTCAGACTCTTAGATGTGTAAATAAACCTCAAATTAATATGAAAGTAACACAGGTAAGGCCCTGTAACAGCTCTCCTTTCTGAGTTTCATTTTTTAAATCTTTATATACATATATTTTCTTACTTGCCTCATTATATTTATTATATTTCCCACAGTTGATGTTTTCATCGTGTCTCTACTTCTGCCCCTGTCTTCTGTCTGACCCCCTGCCTGTCCTCTGAGCTGTGGCTCGGGTTCTCTCTCTCTCTCTTTCTCTCTCTCTCTTTCTTTCTGTCTGTCTTTGTCTCTCTACCAGCCCATCCTCTGAGCCCCTCCCTCATCTGTGGTCACTCCATTAAATAAAACTCCCAGAATTCCCTCTTCCTCTCCCACAGTCCCCCACTAATGATGTCATTTGGCCACAAAATGAGGCCTGGTGTGTGTGTGTGTGTGTGTCTGTCCTTGTGTACAAATATGCTCGTGTGTGTTGGACATATACTGGTTGTGCTGTGATGTAACCTCATATGTGGGTGTGTGTCCTGCAGCCAGAACAGTGTTGGCAAAGAGACGAGCCTCACATCTCTCTTTCCATTTGTATTTTATTGAACAGGTTGGGGGTGGCACAGCGGTGCAGTGGTTAGTGCTGACACCTCCCAGTAAGAAGGTTCCCGGTTTGGCCCCAGGGCCCTTCTGTGTGGAGTCTGCATGTTCTCCTTGCATTCAAATGGACTAGTTAAAAGTTAGACTCTTTGTTTGTAATTGGCTTCAGTAAGAAAAAGCAGCTGTAATTATTAAATCATTTAAGATCTAATTTAGATTTCTCTGTCACTGAGTCCAGTTTGGTCCTGTTCTGTCCCATCTGAGCCTGTTTGGTCTCATTTTTCTCTCTGGTTCAGTTGTTTCATACTGGTGTTTGTTGATTTGTCTCTCTCTTGTCCAGTTTCATCCAGTTGTTGTTTGTTGCTTGGTCCTTTTCAGCCCTGTCTGGACTCCTGTTGGATCCTGTTGGATCCTGTTGGATCCTGCTTAACCTTGCTTAGTCCAGTTGCTTGGTCTTGTTTGGTCATACTTGGTCAAACATGCCTTGTGTTTGGCCTTAACACTGAGGTGAGGGTAAAGTGTTTCTACCCTCTCGCCTTGTTTCCTCCTCTAATTCAGGATCATCATTAAAATCCCGTCAGATATTTGGATTTCCTCTCAGCTGTCACACTCCCATTCAGACACATCGGGTCATTTTTGTTTCTCTCTCTTTTCTGCTTTACAGCCGCCTGACTAATGTAAAATGTATGCGGCTGTAAAATCACTAAGGCTCCAGCAGCTCCACTGTTTCCTGGGCCATTGTTCAGTGTGCTGCTGTTTTCAGATAGCCATCAGACATTTGGCCCATTTTCTGCCTAGCAACACAAGTCTGTTGGTTCCACAAAGCAAAAGCTAAAAGTGAACTTTTCCGAGATTGTTCCAGAAGCTTTTAGTCCCGTGCAACTGTTGACTTTGCAGCTGGAGTTCTCCTACATGCCCTGTCTTAAAGTGCAACTTTGGAGTTTGTTATTTAATCATTCACTGTGGGGGGGGGCAATCCCAGCCGGCAATCGGGCGAAGGCGGGGTACACCCTGGACAGGTCACCAGTCCATCGCTAACACATGGACAAACAACCACACACACGCACATGCACTCCTATGGGCAATTTTAGAGACACCAATCAACCAAAGCTGCATGTCTTTGGACTGTGGGAGGAAGCTGGAGTACCCGGAGAGAACCCACGCAAGCACGAGGAGAACATGCAAACTCCACACCGAAAGGTCCCGGGTGGGGCCCGAACCCTTCTCGCTGTGAGGCAACGGCGCTAAACACTGCGGAGTTTAAATAACTTTAAATGGTGAATGGACTGTATTTATATAGCACATATTTCACAGTGTGTTACACTGGCCAAAGTGCTTTACAGGAGATCATACACATTCACGGCCGAGGGCCTTCCGCACACTGGTGCCACTCGAACCACCGGGAGCAATTTGGGGTTCAGCGTCTTGCTCAGGGACACTTAGGCATGGGGGGAAGAACGGGGATTGAACCACCAACTTGCTGGTCAGAGGTCGACTGCCCTACCTCGTGAGCCACAGCTACTTTAAACTACTGTTAATGAAAAGCACCACAAGATTTTCACATTAAAAGCATTAGAGTATGTTAAATAAGCACTGTTACTGTCTGGTGTATAAGAACAGTGTTTAAAAAGACCAGAATCACCAGGGTGATGAGTAGGACATTACTGCCGTGGACACTATTATTATTATTACTGTAGTGTACCAAGTGAACTAGCTTCTTTACTTGACCGCCCTATTTCTTCATGTTGCATCAAATGATAAGATGCTACTGTCGTAGTTTTAATGATCAAATCCTCTTTGATACTTTGAGGTTTGTTTTTACTTGTGTCCGTGTTGAAGAGAAGAATTTCATACACAACTGCAGAGACTCCATCTTTTAATGTCTTATAGTTCACTGAAATTTGCCTGCAAAGCCTGAGCACATCGCACCAGTGTGGGCCGGTGTGAGAAGCAGACTCATGAGACTTTTAAAAAATGATATATTGCTTACACAGTGTCACCGTATGACACGCGTGAAAAGAAAAACTAGTTAACTGGGCTTAACTGGCACACACATCACATGCACACAGCTGCGCTGGCAAAGAACAGCTGCTGAGATAAAGCTTCGCTGCGATAATCAGTAAAGACACTTCTTCAGTGTGAAATAACAACCTAGCTGTGCACGGTGGCAAACTCAGTTTTGCACTTGATGTGAAAGCAAGTCAAACATAAACGTTCCTGTTTGGCAGAAGCTTTTTATTTGTTGACATTGTGAGCTGGTTGCCAGCGATCCATGGGTCACTAAAATCTGTGAAACTGCAACACTACGCACTATACGGATGCACATAAATGATATGCATACAGCACATATAAACAAAATGAATGTCTGGAAGACAGAGCCAAGATCATATTACCTCATGTTCCCTGCCACCCTAGTCTCAGAGCATGTGGTGTTAACTGTGTTCAGAGATGCAGATGAATAAAGTTAATAAAACTGGAAGTTAAATTTAAAGAGGCAAAGTGAGCAGAGTCAGTGAAGGCAGTGAAATGTGAAACCCCCGAGGCTGAGCCAAAATGTTTGGAACGTGAATTTTTTGTTTAATGAAGACCAGAGCTGACTCGCGGCATCACTCACTTTTAGTTTTACACTTTTTAATTTCAGCGCATGAAACATGAAAACGTTACAGTGGTGCCCGATAAAGACAAACAGCAGCAGCTCTGACCGAGACGGGACAGTGCGATCAGTGATGAATATCCTCATTAACCAGCCAATATGAGCAGCTGTAACAGGCAGTGTGGTGATAAATACTCAGACCAGAACATTATGCACAGACCCATGTGAAACCCCCTCCACTGCAGGGTCAGAGGTCAGAGGAGCTGGACCTGGGCTCTAATCCCAGTCAGAGTTCAAGCAGAAACACCCGACAGCTCAGAGGTTTGCTGCTGATTTGTTGCAGGTTTGATAGTGTAGAGTTTTGCACGTCTGTGTTTAAAAAGTGATTTGGATTTGTTTGTGTGTTGTGAATGTGTCTATTGTGTGTGGACTGTGCAGGAATGTGAGCGTTAGCAGAGCTGTGACTAGTCTAAACCGAAGACAATAATTAAGATGGAGCGATAAAGAAATTACTTGTGGATGTTGGCTGTATCTGTGTGTGTGTGTGTGTGTGTGTGTGTGTGTGTGTGTGGCAGCGGTATCTGGGACTTGGCGGGATGAAAGGATGACGATGAGGATGGACTGTGGGAAAGCAGGGAGGGCTGTCAGGATGAATGTCTGCCAGCTGTAACAGTCTGCAGGTTCTGGCCTCGGTTCAGTGACACGTCAACTGTGCCAGATTGTTCTCGCTGTGTCTCATCTGTACAGAAACTACAATAGGACTGGTATCTATTATAGTGTTAGATGTTTTCCATAGCTCGCAGCAGTGTGAAGTGAAACTAGGAGGGAGGAATCTGACCCGCTTGTGCTGTTTTCTCTCTGTGGTTGAGGGCTGCAGCAGGATCCTGCAGGTCCTTCAAGACCCAGCACAAGAAGGCACAGGCACAGGATGGATTTACTGTAATTAGCGACACACCGATGTGACTTTACCCAAATCCCAGCTCATGGTTTCTGCTGATATCAGGGCTCTCCTTTTCCAGTTCAATGCACATCACTGCATGGAAACTGATCATGTAAATGAACGTGAGTTGGTGGAACTCTGAGCCTTGTAGCATCGAGTCCATATCTAATGACGATGGCTCATTCACTGGTGACCAAGACCAGACTGAGACATGGTGTCCCAGTCTGGTGTGGGACAGCACCTCTGGGATAAACTGGAGCACAGACTGCGACTCATCAGCCACCGTTGCTGTTGCACCTGTGGCTGCATGGGAGCAAACCCCTGCAGCTGTTTCAACATCTGCTGAAAAGCCCAGAAGAGTGCAGGCTGGTCACAGTCACAGCCGCTAATTCAACCGGCTGTAATATTCAGGCATCCACGTACGTTTGGCCGTGCAGCTGGGAGCCTACAGATTGTGTAGCTCACCCTGTCATGTGTGTCTGTCTCCTCAGTGATCTCCTGGAGGATCTGGAGAGGAGTCCTCATGCTGCAGCCATCGCAGAGTGCTTCGTAGAGAGGGTGAGTACTGTGGGGGGGGGGTCAGTAGTGATGCTGTTCTCACATATTTTACAGCACAGGGAGTCACAGTTCCTGACTCATGCAGGACCATGTCAGGGAGAGGAGGGCGTGTCTGTGAGTCACATCTGAGCTTTCTCTGTCATACATGTTGGAGAGGTATGAGCTCAGATGTGGGAAGAGATGGAAATCCCCCGTTTAGTAGTTAAGAGGAAGGAGAAAGAAGGGAGTGGCTGGACTCAGCTGTG